CAATCCAGTTCGACAAAGCCACCATGCTGGCCCCGTCCCAAAGCTATTTCGCACGAAAACACCGCGAAGGCATAGAAATCTTGAAACACCCAGACAATCTGAATCGCGACAAAGGCTATCAGGTGAGCCCGATATGGCACACCGCCCTCCCGGTTTTTTAAAAAACCTTCAGCCGGGATTGGCTGACCCCCCTCCCTCTGACCACGCCATCTACCGGACTACCTCCCTCCCTTCCTCCCCAGCGAGTATAAAAGGACCAGCGCAACGCGAGGGAGCTCAGTCTCACAGAGACTCCCAGCCCTGATGAAGCAGACTGCAACGCCTGCGAAACGTCGGCACCACACTGCAAACAGACGCGGCAACCATCCGGAAGCTATGACTAAAAAAAAAATTTAGCATTATGAATTACGGGTGTCCGGGTTTCAAACAGCAAAATCCGGGGTTTTAAACCTTTGTAAGAGGCAAAGGATAAAATTTAATGACGAAAACTGTTAGGTAGACTAGATTATAGCAACATGGGCCAACAAGCGTATTTTGAACAGGTGACATTAGCAAGGGGACATGCGGAAAATAGAAATAATAAGAAATAATGACGGGCTAAAAGCCGGAGAGGATGAAGAGTTCGTTGCGTGCCGTTGTAGAGACAAATAGAGAAATCATTAGCGTATCGAGAGTGAAAAGGCAAGTGACTGCCTGTGAACTTGTAGAGTGAATAACTGGCGAGGGACTGCCAGTGGTTTAGTGGAACGGCAATCTATTATATTATTAAATTTTGTGTGCTTGGGCCATTTGATTATTAAATTATTAAATTGTTTATTTACGCCCTTTTATTTTATTAAAATCCTATATATCTTACAGAACATTTCATCAGAAGTAGGATAAGTCGATTCTTTAGGATTATTTTGAGAGTGGTGTAACTTTTAATATATAAATGACTTTGTCTGAAACGGGATAACGTGCGAGTGTTCGTCCGGAAAGTTCTCACGGCGCGTATGTTGGCGGAGTGCGAAACAATAGAAAGCGTTCACAGTAGTTTTGAAAATATGGACTGAGCACGCGAATATTTCTAATGGATCGAAGAGACATTGAGAATCTGACGATAAATCAATTAAGATCACTGGCCGCGCGACTTAAAGTAGGAACCAGTGGGTCTCGAGCAACAATCATTGTGAACGTCTGTGATTTCTATTGTTATGTAGCCATGCGAATAAGATCTTAGCATAAGTGCTAGTGCGCTTGCGCCAGAAGGCGCTGCTGCGTGATACACCTATCTATATAGATTATATATCCTAAGCATCTGTATAAGAGAATCCGACGTCTGTAAATAAAGAACTGTACGACTTGATAATACCAGTGTACACCAAATACGGATAGTCCCTTACTGCCTGGGAGTCACCTGTAACTCACAAGTGAGGAACACAACATTGGCGACGAGTCTTCGAGCCTACGCTCGGAAAAATACTGGATAAGTATTGTTCTCGTCATGGCGCTCATTGGTTCCATCGAAGCTTTCAATCCAAGAGAGACGGATATTACGTCATATATGGAACGTATCGAGATGTTATTTGCTTGTAATGAGGTGGTAGCCGACAAAAAAGTATCCCTATTACTAACCTTAATAGGTGGTGAAGCATACGGAGTGCTTAAAGATTTGTTAGCGCCTACCTTACCGAGTACATTGGCATTTGAACGCCTTCGCACGGAGTTGGAAAATCACTACAGCCCTAGAAGGTTAGTGATAGCTGAACGGTATAAGTTTTACTCGGCAGCGCAAGAATCTAATGAGGACATCAAGTCATATGTAGCTCGACTCAAGAACTTGGCTAAACATTGTACCTTTGGTACATTCTTGAACAAGGCCTTACGCGACAAACTAGTATGTGGTATCCGTTCAGAAAATATTCAACGGAAACTGTTAACAGAAGATAATCTGACCTATGAACGAGCGTTTCAAATTGCTACAAGTATGGAGATGGCAGAGGGTCAAATTAAAGTCATGGGCACCGATGCTACGTCTGTCAATAAAGTAAGCGTTTCAAAGTACAGCAGAAGCAAGAAGGCCGGCCAGTCATCATCGCAAAATAGAGCCACATCCAGTCAGCCCGGACAAGCCAGCAGAGCGGATCATCCTTCAAGCAGCACAGGCAAGACAAAATGCGGAAGATGCCTCAGAGTTCACTGGGATAACAATAAGTGCCCGGCCATCAACTGGAAATGTTTCTCATGCAACCAGAAGGGACATACAGCAAAATCAGCGTTATGCAAGAATAAAATTAACGAAGTAGCAGCGGAAGAGGCTAGTCAAGAGGAGCCAGATACAGACGTAAATAACCCGTCAGAGTTAGGCTGGTTGAGGGAATCGGGGGAGATGTATTTCCTAAACACGTTAAGGCGTTGCAAAGGTAATGAAAGTTTACGTATTCAATTGCCAGTGGAGAACAAAGTCATTATAATGGAAGTCGATTCGGGCGCATGTAAGTCAGTCATTCACATAAATGATTATAAGAAATGGTATCCGAAAATACGCGTAGAACCGGTTACTTTTCAATTGCGAGTAGTCACAGGCGAACAAGTCAATATTCTCGGTCAAATAACTGTTTCTGTAAGATATCAAAAGAAAGTATTTGCTTTACCGTTAGTGATATTAGATAGTAAGTCTAGATTTACACCACTACTGGGTAGGAATTGGCTGAATATTCTTAATCCACATTGGAAACAGGTTGTGGACACTAAAATGATCGTCGAACAGTGTAAATTGAGCAGTATAGGCACACAGGAGTCAGACATTGTCAAAGGGTTGTTAGGTGAAATCAAAAGTAAATTTCAGCGGATTTTCGACGAGGAACCTAATTCGGTAATTCAACATTTCAAAGCTGAAATTAAACTTAAAGACAATGCCAAACCCATATTCCATAGAGCATACAGCATGCCATATGCGGTAAAGTCAAGAGTAGAAGAAGAAGTAACAAGGATGGTTCAATCGGGAATCCTAACAAAAGTCGCGCATAGTAGGTGGGCTAGTCCCATTGTGGTGGTACCTAAGAAAAATAATTCGGACATTCGAATATGTGTAGATTTTAAGAAGACCTTGAACAGGGTAATCGATAGAGACCACTGTGTGTTACCGTTACCGGAGGATATTTTTGCTTGTCTGGGGGGGAGCAAATTTTTTAGCGTAATAGATTTGCAAGGTGCATACCAACAACTACAAATTGGCAATGATTCACGTGAACTGTTTACCATTAACACACACATGGGTCTATTTCGATACAACCGTCTTACGTATGGGGTGAGCTCAGCACCGGGTATCTTTCAATCATGTATGGAAATGATCCTGGCGGGTATACCACAAGTCAAGTGTTATCTAGATGACATTTTAATTTACGGGTCATCGTTGTTAGAATGCCACAAAAATGGCTTAGCGGTCTTGGAACGACTATATCAGTACAACGTCAAAGTTAATAAAACCAAATGTAAATTTTATAAAGAAAGTGTCGAATTTCTAGGACACAGGATCGACTCGAAAGGAGCCCATCCATTGGAACATAAAGTGGAAAGTATTCGCAAAGCCCCATCACCACAAAATATTACGCAGCTGAAATCATATTTAGGGTTATTAAATTATTATGGAAAATTTATCCCCATGTTATCAGCTAAGCTTAGACCACTATACAACCTTTGTAAGTCAGCAGTAGACTTTAAATGGACGAAGGAACACGAACAGACTTTTCAGACTAGTAAAAAGCTGCTTACCTCTGATTCCGTGCTTATACATTTCGACCCGAGGTTACCTGTTTACGTGACGTGTGACTCTAGTGGATATGGAGTGGGAGCGGTCTTAAGCCACAAAATCGGTACCGACTTACGACCTGTTTTATTTACATCGAGTACATTATCTACGACGGAACAGCGTTATTCAAATCTTGAAAGAGAAACTTTGGCACTTATTGTGGCATTAAAAAAATTTCATAAGTATATCTACGGTCGAAAGTTTACATTGTAACGAGGGCGACCGGGGAGGCGCGGCCGGTAGAAAAAACCCGAATTCCTAGAGCGAGAGAGAAGGCAATAGAGCCAGCCGGCGAAAAATCGATAACGCGCGGTTGCCGCGTCGAAGCCGGCGAGAAAATCGATAACGCGCGGTTGCCACGCGTCGACGGCAGCCGGCAACGTCGCGCCCGCCCCCGCCGCCTCACCCCGCGCGCCTCCGTCCGGGGGGTATAAAAGCCCTTCCGGAGCAGGCGCTTTAACTCAGTTGACGCTTGGTGCTCCGACCGTCAACACCGGGCAGTGGGTACCTCCGCTGCAGGTATAAGCCGGAGTTGAATGGATGCTCCTGTCTCCGGCTATATACCGAACCGGAGCACACAGTGGAGGCTCTACTCCGTTGTGGGCCCCGTCCCTCAGTAGCGTACGCCTAACGGGGTGCTCCTCGGCGTACACATGCTACAATTTCCCCGCACCGGTCTCCTGTTTCCGTCCTGACTCCGTTCCCCCCGAAGGCACGGGTACCGCCGTGATTCGCGGGGCGGAGTGCTCTCCGCAGTAGCGTATACCTAACGGGGTGCTCCTCGGTGTACAATTGCTACTGAAAAATTCACGCATCACGAGGCGCCGCTCGGGCGTGATCCTGTCCTGACCAGATTCCTTTTCCTGATTCCTGACCGGTATAGAACTCAGGGGGGTAATATTCGGGTGGGAAAGAATATTCCTCATTAGCTCTAATAGTAAGCTCCGTAGTATTAATCCCATTATTATTTTTCCCTTGCAGACCAGAAGGGTCCGTGTAGTCATCCTGCCTGACTGCTTCCAGTATTAAGGCTGGTCTACAATACATGGAGTAAGCTGGAGTAAGGAGTAGGAGTAAGGAAATAAATCCATTTTA